TTTATTTATTTATTTATTTATTTATTTATTTATTTATTTATTTATTTGCCAATTGTTTACAAGATAATAAGTATAAGTGTATACATAGTTGTGAATACATGAAATGGGTACATATAAGAAAAATAAAAGAGGAATAAGAGAAACAATAGGACAGGGACGGTAGGCACGTTGGTGCGCTTATGCACGCCCCCTACAGGCCTCTTAGGAAAGGGGTGAGGTCAATAGTAGACAGTCTAAGGTTAAAGTTTTTGGGGTTTGGGGAAGAAACTACAGAGTCGGGTAGAGTATTCCAGACATTGACCACTCTATTGCTGAAGTCGTATTTCCTGCAATCAAGTTTGGTGCAGTTTACTTTGAGTTTGTATCTGTTGTGTGCTCTTGTGTTGTTATGGTTGAAGCTGAAGTATTCATTGACAGGTAGGACATTGCAATGTATGATTTTATATACCATGCTTAAGTCAGACCGAAGACGGCGTAATTCAAGGTTTTCTAGTTCTAGAATTTCAAGTCTGGTGGCAGACTTGATTATTTCAGATTTAATTTGTTTAGTAGTACAGACTGATGTAATGTGAAGAAAAACGTTTCTCTAAGAAAGAGAAAGTAAATATCTACAGCACATCTTTTCAGTTCAATACATGGATTATACTAGTACTATACTAAACTTGTACTCCCACTAGTACTAGTAGGTCAGGAATGAATCAGAATAATGTTCCTGTGTCAGAAGAAAGAGAAAAGAGAGCAGGAAGTTGTTACAATAATTAGTCCAAGCTGTAACGTTTGTAAAATAAGGAAGTGAAAGTGTATGTGTGGGTGGACCATCTTCTTCAGATGCTAGTCCTGTCCCAAGTGAAGTTTCTTATACCATTTTAGGACTCCTAAGTCAGCAAAGGAGGAAAATAGAACACTTCCTTGGAAAGTAGAAATGGTAGACTGGGGGTTTCCAAATGTGATAGAAGTCCCAGGAGAGAAAGTGAAACTCCAAGGAAGAAGTAGAGAGAGGCTCAAAGTGAAAAATCCTTAAGGGAGTGAGAAATTCCTGAGAGAAAACAGGAGTGAAAAGCCACAGTAGACAAACTTGTTTGTGGGAGTCCTCGGTGCTCTCTGAACTTGGTTATTTTGTTGCAGACATTTCATTTCCCAACTAGGTAACATCATCAATGAATCATCTAAGCAATGATAATGCTACCTATTTAGGTAATAAATCATCTGCAAGAAAACAACCAAGCTCAGAGAACACCAAGGATCCCACAGTTCAACTCTGAGGTACAAATATTCTCTTCTATTGGTACAAACTTGTTTGGTATATTTATGGAATAGTGTGTCATTGTATAGATCTGAGATTTATTTTATTTATTTAATTGCTTACAAGATAATAGGTATAAGTATATACATAGTTATGAATACATGAAATGGGTACATATAAGAAAAATAAAAGGAAAAATAGGACAGGGACAGTAGGCACGTTGGTGCGCTTATGCACGCCCCCTACAGACCTCTTAGGAAAGGGGTGAGGTCAATAGTAGACAGTCTAAGGTTAAAGTTTTTGGGGTTTGGGGAATAAACCACAGAGTCAGGTAGAGTATTCAGGTAGAGTATATAGACTTTCTCAACTGTGCTAATATCAGATACGTAATGTGGGTTCCAGACTGATGAGCTGTATTTGAGTATTGGTCTAGCAAATGTTTTGTATGCTCTAGTTATTAGTGTAATATTACCAGGGAAAAAGCTACGTATGATTAGGTTAACAACTCTTAATGCCTTTTTGGCTATGTAGTTACAGTGGGCTCTAGCACTTAGATCATTAGAGATGAGTATTCCAAGGTCCTTTACATAGCTTGGATCATCAACAAGGTCTTGACTATTCAGCTTGTATTTTATTTTCTGATTCTTTTTGCCAATATGTAAGACAGAGCATTTATTTGTTGAGATTTGAAGTTGCCATTTGTTTGACCATTCTGATACATAGTCAAGATCTTTTTGAAGGGTAGCAGTATTGTCTGTGGTATTGAACAACTTTACATCATCAGCGAAGAGAACGCAGTTGCTCTTAATATGATCACAGAGGTCATTTATGTAGAGTATGAAGAGAGTTGATCCTAGAACACTGCCTTGGGGGACACAACTATTGACAGGTACAGAATTTGATAGGACACTCCCAATTTTGACCATTTGTTGTCTGTTTGACAGGAATACTTCTATCCAGTTATGCAGTTGTCCAGAGATACCATAAGATTTTAGTTTTAGTTGTAGTTTGTTGTGTACCACTGAATCAAAGGCTTTACAGAAGTCTATGTAGATTGCGTCTATTGTTTTGCCCTGATCAAGTTGTGTAGTCCATATGTTTTTGCAGTGTAAGAGTTGCAGATTACGGGATAGTTTTTTTCTGAAACCAAATTGTTTATTGGAGAGTATGTTGTTCGTCTCTAAGTGGAGGATAATGGATTGGTTAATAATTGATTCCATAACTTTACAGGTGACGCAGCATAAGGAGATTGGTCTGTAATTTTCAACTAGGCTGGGGTCTCCCTTTTTGAAGATGGGGATGACCGTGGCTTGTGACCATAGGTTAGGCGAGGAGCTGGTCCTGAAAGATTTTTCAAAGATTATACTTAGAGGTTCTGCTATGGCAGTGTCTCAGGGAACAAAATTTCAAAATGGTTTGAAATAATTTTTTTTAAATTATGGTCTATATTACAGTAGTAATATAATGCAGCAGGTTCTTGATGTCTAAAATAGATGATCTACTGTAGGAATGTGGAGTTAAATATCTATTCAGGGGCATAATCAAATGCAAATATGAGACACCAAATATCTCCAGAAAGGAATTCTGAGGAGAAGGCAGCACTTCTGACAAGTCAAGTAGTCGTCTACAAAATGACTTGATTGACATGGTGCACCAAGAGCCTTTTAGAAATCGATGGACAAAATTATTTTAGGCAAAATTGAAGCAGTGTGCAGCAGCAGACAAAAAAGCCAATGCAATTCTAGGTTGCATTAACAAAGGGACAGAATCAAGATCACGTGAAGTATTAGTACCACTTTACAAAGCCCTAGTAACACTTGGAATACTGCATCCAGTTTTGGTCACCACATTATTAAAAAGTGTTGAAGCAGTGGAAAGAGTGCAGAGAACAACAACAAAGATGATTAGGGGGCTGGAGGCTAAAACATATGAAGAACAGTTGCAGGAATTGGATATGTCTAGTCTAGTGAAAAGAAGGACTAGGGGAGACATGATAGCCGTGTTCCAATTTGTGTTCTTTAAGGGACTACCACCAAGAAGAAGAAAACCTATTTTCCAAAGCAACAGAAGGCAAATCAAGAAACAATGGGTGGAAACTAATTAAGGAGGAAACCAATCTAGAAACAAGGAAAAGTTTTCTCCCAGGGAGAACAATTACTCAGTGGAATGGCTTGCCTTCAGAAGTTGTGGGCGCTCCATCACTAGAGGTTTTTAAGAAGAGACTGGATAGTCACTTGTCTGAGGTGGTATAAGGTTTCCTGCTTGAGCAAGGGATTGGATTAAAAGATCTCCAAGGTCTCTTCCAACTCTGTGATTCTGTTATTATGAATGTACTGTGGAGTAACTTACAGTATTATCTGCAAGGAACATTGGTAGCAATTAAATAATGTCATCTCAAGTGCAGAGTCAAAGAAGCTGACTTTACCATCAGTTCAGATTATTCTGAACTGCAATATTTCAGCTATGTAAACAATTAGTTTAACTAGAAGAGAAAAAGCTGCAAACTAATCAATAGATTCAACTCTAATGACTAAGAAAGATGTAAAATTATTCTTAGGTTATTGTGGACGGTTTATATCTAATTTTTCCACTAAAGAACAAGGTTTCAAATTCTTAACTGAGAAGAGTAAACCTCTAAAGCTTCATTGGATTCCTGAATGCTAAAAAGCCTTCTAAGAGTTTAAAAATTGTTTTCTGTAGTCAGTTTATGTTAAGAACTCCAGACTTTAATCTTCCATTTCTTTTTATGTATCTGATGTGGAATTGGGAGAAATCCTGTTGCCACACTTTGAGATGGGGGTATTCAATTTTGTATTATTATTATTATTATTTAAAAACTCTTACTTAAATAAAAAAGTATTCAGAAAAGAAGGCCTATGCTCTGCAGCAGGAGGTTGAAAGTTTTAAAGTAAATTTTGATACATGTGTATCTATTAAAAATGATGGGATTGTAAATTACTCTAGTCGTAGAATACCAACTATTACTTTAGATTGAAAACATTAAAGACACCAACTGAAGACTTACCTGCTGATGTCTCACACTATAACTGTACAGGTTTGTAATTCAAATCAGTAAGGAGACAACAAAAATTGATGGTTATCTGTTTAGATAGGAAACTGATTCAGAGAATGCTATCTGCAAAACAAGAATCAATGAATTCAGGGGAAGGCTTGGGGAACACACCCTACCCTTCCTAAAAGAAGAGTTATGTGAGAAAATGGAAAACTGATACCTGCTATCCTGTTATGTAAGCACCAAGACTTACAAACTCTACTTCCTTGCTGATAATTATTTGAGAAATAACTGAGTTTTACCAACAGAGAACCTTTCATGTGTAGAGAGAAGTTACAAAATGTATTTTGAAATGGTGAGGGGCTAGAGAAAAGAAAAACAGCTATCCAAATGTGGCTAAATTAAGCAGTCTTGGGCTGCTGAAGCAAGCAATGCATGATTCAGACTTGAATGTAGGGGAGCTGACATAGTAACTGGTACACAAAGAGAAGAATGATATAGCCTGCGATTTGTCTCCCATGCAGAGAGAAGGAGAGGTAGGGAGATCATCTAAAGACATCAGAAAGAAGATGAAAGTTGTGCTAGCTGGTACAGGTTTGTCAGCCAGGTCTTATCTGAAGGCCTTGATTTGGAGAATTTAGAAACAGTTAATGTAAGGGCTCTTTTGAGAAATGGAAAATTGGGATCACCAGCAAAGAGATTATTGTCATCTTCCTGGTGTTTTTAGAGAGGTTTTTTTTTATTATAACAAACTTCCTAATATCTAAATTTAAACAGCTTTAAACTAAATACTAAACCTATGTTATATTGTACTACACTTAACACTAATCAATATGTCTATGCCTCTGGGTTGATCTAGTTCCTAAACAATCCTATGGACTTTTCTGTTGTCCTTTATTGCCTGAATTTATAACATTAATTGGCTTCTGATGCTGCCAGCTACGCTGAACTGCTGCTGGAAACATTAGTAAAACCAGTCTCTCAGTTTGCACTGGGAGGGACCAGGGGGCAGGAGTCTTATCAGCTATTGGCTGGCCTAGATTTTCAGTATCTCTGCAGGAATATTGAGACTGCTGGGTTCTGCTTTCTCTTTCAAATTTCATGCTGTTGATTTGAGGAAGTCTACAGCCTGCTCCTCCCTCAGCCTTAGCTGTCTGCTAAACTGTCACTCTGCCTACCCAACCTTAGGCTGCAAATTCTTCATGTCTGCTCTCCCTTAGGACAGGGGTCCCCAACTCCTGGGCCACAGCCCACTACCAGACTGTGGCCTATTCGAAACCGGGCCATGGGAGAGATGGGTAAGGGCACGCAAAATGCCACTTGTGTGAGTGGAGAGCACTTGCGCTTGTGCACAAAGCTCCAGTCATGTGAGTGGCAGATGCTTGCACAGAGTGGAGTTTCACACGTGAGCACAAGTGCCCTCCGCTTGTGCCTCTTCAAATGAAACTGTGCGTGTGTGCATGCACCTCCATTCAAACATATACCATGCTGGGCCAGGCTGCCAAGCTGAAAAGGTTGAGGATTGATGCCTTAGGAGGCAGTTCTTTCTCCAACACACTTGTGTAACTTTTTGCATCCCGAATAATGTCTTTCTACAATATACAGGTCTATATACAGATTAACAGAGTTGGAAGGGACCTTATAGGTCATCTAGTCCAACCCCCATTTCTGACAAATGGCAGTCCAATCTCTTCTTGAAAGTCTCAAGTGATGACGCTCCTACAACTTCCGAGGTCAAGGTGTTCCATTGGTTGATTGTTCTCACTGTCAGAAAGTTTCTCCTTATTTCCAGGTTAAATTTCTCCTTGTTCAGTTTCCATCCATTATTCCTTGTCTGGCCTACAGGCGCTTTGGAAAATAGCATGACCCTTTCCTCTCTGTGGCAGCCCCTCAAATATTGGAACACTGCTATCATGTCTCTCCTGGTCCTTCTCTTCACTTGACTAGCCATGCCCAGTTCCTGTAACCGTTCTTCAAATGTTTTAGTCTTCAGTCCCCTAACCATCTTGGTTGCTCTTCTCTGCACTCTTTCTAGAGTCTCAACATCTTTTTTATAATGTGGTGACCAAAAACTGGATGCAGTACTCTAAGTGTGGTCTTACTAAGGCTTTATAATGTGGTAACAGTACCTCACTTGATCTTGATTGTATCCCTCTGTTAATGCAATTTAGGATTGCATTTTGGCTACTGCTGCACCACTGTTGGCTCATATTTAATTGGTAAGACACTATGTTTTCCTCCTATTTCTTATTTTTGTCTCTTTTTATGTTCAGCATTTCAGAGTTCTCTGTGTATCCATGATGGCCTTTGTATATTCCTCCCATTTTTACCTCTTGTCAAAATTAGGCAGCTATTGTCTTTTTGGTACCTTCCCATCTTCAGGATTTAAAGCCATTGGAACTGACCTACCTCGCTCTTCTGAAATTCTGTATGCAGACATGAGTCTTCTTAGTACCTCATCTGCTTCATATTACAATTTCTAGACTGCTGGTCTATTCTTTGTAATGCACAGTCTCACACATGTCAGAGCACAACTACTTACTCCCTTTCTGTATTTTTACAATATGCTTAACCTAAAAAAGCATACAATATGATGGATATGATAAGGCCGATTATCACAGGCCGATTATATTCTATTTTTCTATTTCTTTGATTGTAGATTGCAGTAATCGTATATCCATAGTTGGTGTTGAAAGAGAAGATATTGTTTTGGCACCATCAGTTTCAGGCAATGGCAGCCTAACAAGAATTTATTGGAAGAAAGGAGAAGATATAGTGGTTGGCTCCAGGTTCAGTATTCCTTCTGAAAAGGAAAAACAAAGATGGAGTTTTGATGCTTCCTCTGGCAATTTGTCTCTCAAAAACCTTTCAAAGGAGGATACTGGAACTTACACAGCAAAAATTTTCATTAACGAGGAAATGAAAGAAACCTGTTTTGATCTGAAAATACTAGGTAAGCAGCAATATGCTAGATCATATACTAAAGAGGTATAAAACATCTATTTTCATTTTAAATTAACATTACATGAATGCTTACATTAGCACAATGTAAAGTAACATGCCATATTCTGTACTGGTGTAATATAATTGTATTAATAGACTTTATAACTATAGAAATGAATATTTGACATAAATGTAAAACCCAAGAGAATTAAAATGGAAGTTTTTCACTTTGGTCAAGACTTTGTGAACTGACCCACTCACTCACATGCACATGATGGTGGTTTAGTGCAGGGGTCACCAACCTTTTGGATCTCAGGGACCACTAAATTCATAATTTTAAATTCCACAGATATGAATAATAATATTCACTAATATAAATCCAGCGTGCCACTCGCTGAAACACCTGGACCAAAAACTCAGAACTGTCCAAAAGCAAATCAATGCTAGTGTACAGAGCAATGGCCAATAGGTCCACAAGTCTCATTGTTCCCAAAGTTCCCAAAGATAAGTACACCAGGAAAATTAAACCTCAATAGAGTTTAGGAATCAAGAAGACTCCAAAGTCCATAAGCAGAGGTGGTATTCAGCAGGTTCTGACCAGTTCTGGAGAATCGGTAGCGGAAATTTTGAGTAGTTCGGAGAACCGGCAAATAGCACATCTGACTGGCCCCGCCCCCATCTATTCGAGTCCCAGCTGATCGGCTGGTTCTTCTTTTGTTGCTGTGCACAGGAGAATGGAGCTGGAAAGCAGGTTAGTGGGGTGGGGAGAGAATAGGGATTTTGCAGTAACCTTTCCCCAGGAGTGGGGAGGGAATGGAGATTTTACAGTATCCTTCCCCTACCATGCCCACCAAGCCACGCCACGCTGACCAAGCCACGCCCACAGAACCAGTAATAATTTTTTTTGAATCCCACCGCACAGTCCAAAGCAAGGCAGGAATCGCAAGGACCAGGAAACACACAGCTAGGAAATGAACACGTTGTTCCTAGCATTGCTTCCATCTATCTGCTGTGCTAAACAACCAGCTTCTGGTGCATCCCATCAAGAACGACAAGACAGAAAGCCACTGGAGGAAAAACTGTTCTCGTCTCCATTCCTAACCTGTTCATTAGGTCTGAAATCAATGATTGGCTGGCAGTTTCAGGTTGTTTTTATGGGTTTGGGTTGCAACAGAAGCAGCCTTATACAGAACAGTTGGACATATCTAAAGTTGTGTTTTATCGAATTTAGACACTGCCCATCTCACTCTCTAAATGACTCAGGGCAGTACAGATAAAACCATAAAACCATATAAAAGAGACATAATTAAAAACAGAATTAAAATGAAACCAGTTTCTACCAGGTATTGGTCTTATCTGGTTTCTGAAATACGCATTTCAAGGTAATTACACTGTGGTCTGATAAATGGCAAACATCAATGTTACATTCTGTAATTTGATGATATAAAAATGTTATAACAAAATAATCAAGCCTAAAAAATTGTAATGCGCACTTGAATAACATGTATTTTCTTTTGGTGATTACATCAGATGCCAGGAGTCTATTGAATACATTTTTTACATATAGGTCTAAATTGTTTCCTTCACTAATGGTTGTTTTTTAATGCCCGGCAGATAGTCGTGCAGCTAAATTAAGCCATCTGTGAATGTTTAGGTCTTGGTGCCATCCCAACAGTTCATTAAAAAACAAAATCATATGCAATGAACAATTTTATTTACCTGATGAACAAAGTCTTTGTCCACACAACTTAATAATTTAGAGTTTGAAAGCACTTTGATCAGGAGAGAGAGCTGAAAGACATATTTTTATTTTGAGTAGAAAAATGAGTACCTGTTCTAAGAAGTGTGTGTGTGTGTGTGTGTGTGTGTGTGTGTGTGTGTGTGTTTGGCTAAAAACTTAATTTAAAGGAAGCCATAGAAATAGTGTCATGTAAACCTTATACATGTAACTCAAACTTCTATTTTATTTATCACTCTGTCCTTCTCTTGCATCTCCAGTACGGCCTGATATAAATTGCACTGTTAACAATGATACCATTCAATTAAACTGTACATCAGCAAGTCAGGATCTACCCCTGGCATACTCCTGGGATGTCAACGGAAATGAAGAAATAATCTCTGAGAAGAATTCGGTTATTCAGCTTCAGAGGAACTCAAACCATTTTCAGAAAATTACATGTTATGTTGTAGCTTCCAATTCAAACGCCAGCAATTTCATCAATCTGAGTGATTGTATTATACCGGTAGAAGGTAGGCTTGGAGATTTTTATGGTTATAAGTCTTTGCCTTAAAACTGTAATAAATACTGGAAAATTAATTGTTGAACAGTATGGTCAGTAAGTCATGTGACTGCACCCAATTTTATGACCTTTTTTTGTTGCTGCAGTCATTAAGCAAATCACCACAGTTGTTAAACAAGACATCATGTGCCCATGATTTGTGATTTTCTCTGTAAGCTTGCCCATTGCCTTTCTTGTCGGAAGCCAGCTGGGAAGGTCACAAATGGTGATTTCTATGATTGTGGGATGCTGAAACTGTTGTAAATGTGTGATGATTGCCAAGCACCCAAATCACAATAACGTGGCTGCAGGGATGCTATGACAGTTTGTACGTGCAAGGACCAGTCATAAGTCATTGCTTTCAGCACTGTTGTAATGGTCAGGTTAGATAGTCCTCAATTTATGACCACCATTGAGGACAGGATTTCCATGGTTAAACAAGACAGTTGTTAAGTGAATTGCACCCAACTTCCGTAACTTTTTTGCCCCAGTTTGTTAAGCGGTTGTCAGTTAATCACGAGGTTGTTATGTGAATCTGGCTTCTCCCATTGACATTGCTTGTTGCAAGCTGGCAGGGAAGGTCACAAATGGTGATTACATGACCCTGGGACACTGCAATCAGCATAAATGCATGCTGGTTGCTAAGCACCAACATTTTCAGCATATAGCCGAGGAAATATTGCAATGGATGTAAGTGTGAGGACTGGTGGATGTAAGCGTGAGAACAATCAACCGATGGAACCACGTGCCCTCAGAAGTTGTGGGAGTGCCATCACTTGAGACTTTCAAGAAGAGATTGGACTGCCATTTGTCCGAAATGGTGTAGGGTCTCCCGCTTGCGTGTGGGGTTGGACTAGATGACCTACAAGGTCCCTTCCAACTCTGATTATCTGATAAATCTTGTCTTGAGTCACTTTTTTCAGTGCTGTTGAAAAGTGAATGGTCACTAAATGAATGGTCGTAAGCCAAGGGCTATCTGTTGTCAATGGTTTCTTTTCAGATTTATGAGATGACTGACATTGTGGAGATGTTCAGTCACTAAATATTCATTTCCCACAAAAGCAAAGACAAACTGCTATTTAGGCTAAAAGGAAAAAAAATGAAGAATGTAAGAATCTAAAGTGAAAGGGCACATTAAAAGGGGAGGGGGCTTCATCAAATAACTGAGGCTGTCATTTTGACCTGTTTGCCTCCCTCTTTCACATGGATGCTGTAGAATTGAGGGTCTAAGCTTCAATAGAAAAAAGTATTTCTTAAACCCATGATTTTCTTTTCCAGTCACAGTTTAAAGTATAAAAATTTAAAAGTTTAAAAAGACAAATTAGCAATGAAATCAACGGAATATTTATTTCCAGAGATAACAAATAAAAAGCTGCTTTCACAAAAAGGGAACTGATGATATTCTGAATATACAGAATATATTAATCAGTAGGTAATACTCAAAATATACACATCAACACTGTTATGTGCAGACACGTGATAAAACATACAAATATCCTTGAAAACACACATATTCAAAACATGCAAAATATTTCTCTAAGTCCCTATTTTCATGTAAAAGTGATATTACCTTTTTCTTCTTTCTGGAGCAAATTTTCAACTAAAACTCTGGGCTATACTAATATCCCTTTACAAAAACTCCCTTTTTATGACTGTCATCCCTTAATTTGGGGAAGAGTTGGGATGACTGGATGGAGTATAATGCAAATACTATATTTTTAAAAGGTAAAAATTAAATATAAGCAATATTTGAAATATATATTCCTGCACAAAGAAATCAACAGAAATGTGACCAATTCTGTTTTGTCCCTCTGTTGAGATATTTGTTCTGTAATATTGAAAATGATATACAATGACAATCTTTTCTAGCAGGAGCCATATAGCTCTCTATCTTTCCATGGCTGTGTGGTTGCTCTTTCAGATTCATAGCTCTTAATGTGTCAGTAAATTAAAATAGTCTTAAGTCAGTAAATAGTCCAAGAAGCAGTGGCATCAATGGGAAAAACCAAAACAGACATGACAAGAGATGTAGCATCACGAAACAAGCCTAGCTCCTTCCTTAAGTACATCAGAGTTATATAAAAATGCTGAGTTTGAATTGTGACATCATAGATTTACCGTATCTTGTCACCTTTTGACATTTGTACAAAATGTCATGCAGAGCATTAGGCATTACTACTAGAGGTGGTATTCAGCAGGTTCTGACCAGTTCTGGAGAACCGGTAGTGGAAATTTTGAGTAGTTCGGAGAACCAGCAAATCCCACCTCTGACTGGACATTTTACAGTATCCTTCCTCTGCCACACCCACCAAGCCACGCCCATAGAACCAGTAGTAAAAAAATGTGAATCCCACCACTGATTACTACACTATATCAATTGTATTAAAGTTGAATTTAAACTTTATATGAATCACTCATCCAGATTTCACTGAAAGAAAGGATAGAATACACACAACAGTGTTACAAAATCCTATAGATATGCACAGTTAACTTTGCTATCAACAATGCATGAATTCTACACACTATTAATGTAAATTTTACAACAGAAAGAACTATCTTATGATGTTTACCAGCCAAAAGAAGCTGTGTATAGAATTTTTCTGTCCAATCTGGAATAAGAGAATAACAGAAATAGGCTCAGAAGTGATGTCTTAATAATATGGCAGTACAGGGAGTCATCAAATTACAACAGTTCATTTAGTGACTGTTTGAGATTACAATGGCACTGAAAAAAGCAATATTTTCCCACTTACAACCATTTCAGCTTCCTCGTGGTCACTTGATCAAAATTTGGCCACTTGGCAACTGTCATGTACTTATGCCAGTTGCAGTGCCCCAGGGTCATGTGAATGTGAATTTTTGACAAGCAAAGTCAAGGGAAGCCAGATTCACTCAACAACCATGATACTAACTTAGCAACTACAGTGATTCACTTCACAACTTCAAGAAAGGTTGTAAAATGGACAACATTCACTTAACAACAGTCTCGCTTAACAATAGAAAATTTGTTTACAATTCAATTCTGATCATAAGTTGAGGACTACCTGACAACAATTTAGATTCCCTGGAAGACAGGAGGAGGACTCAACACTAAACAGCCCCTTCTAATTCTATGATTGTAGGAGACAATTCTTTGTTTGAATTATCTCATTTCAATTTGTATGTTTGTTTCTTCTATTATTATATAATCTCATTTTCCCTCCTTTTATATGTGTACATTATTGTGTTCATATCTAAATAATTGTTAATTTAATTTTTTGGCATAAGTTGTATTCTGTTGCAATATAATTAATATTTATGTATGTTGTCTGGAAAACTTGAAAGATTCAGTGAAAAAAGCTAAATTTAACATTTTGGGCACATGAACATAAGGCTGTTTTCTGATTTTAGATGACATTCAACATAATATTTTCAAATTTGCTTTTTAAGAACCTGATCAACAATCAAGAAGTAGAATACCATTAATTGCAATGGCAATAATTCCAGTTCTAATGATAGTTTACTGCTACATAAGTAAGTGAATTTTTTGCTTTTACTACTTTTATTACTCCTTTTCTGGAAATAAACATGGAATTCTGAATTTTGTTCTAAGTTCACAGACCCAGACACACACACAGACAGCTAGCAAGCAGAAGAAAAGCTGCTTAATACTGTGTAAATATAGGACAAAGTACTATACTTACAAGCTGTCTGTATACATTTTGTAAACACATTTATCTAGAGTAACCAAGTGCAGATTATGCAATGTATGCCTTAATTCTTAGAATTTAAGTAAATTATTTAAATTTCTGCTACTTTGCTTATACTACAAAAATCTTTCAGTGTTTCACTTCCTTCCCAACTTAGCTTTACCACTGCCTAGATTTCAGAACTGCATTTTCTCTCTGCTGGCTCTTTTCTGCAGATTCTTCTTTGGCTTCAGCTGCCTCAGGTTCCCTCTCGGTTTCTCTCTTTGGCTATAGCGTGTCTGGCTCCCTGCTTCCTTTGCTACATGTCCCATCTGATCTGCTCTCCTCACAGCAACATCTTCTGTCAAGCTAAAAGAAATCATCCTTCCTTCTGTCTACCTGCTGTAATTGTTGCTTTTAGTTCTTTCTTTGGAAACCTATTGTTATGAACAGCTTGAAAATAATTCTAAGACTTTTAAACTCCCCTTCCCCTTCTCTGCAAGCACCCATGTGTTTAAACTGGGCAGGTGACAGACCACTGCAGAAGAAAAAAATCTTGACAGTCTCACATAGCATAACAAGCCTCCGAGTTCCCATATTTTCTGGAAATATTTCTATTTAATGTATGCCCTGCCAATGTTTATAACAAGAATTTTACCTAACCCTAACCATTCTTCCAATGTTTTAGCCTCCAGCCCCCTTTGCTCTTTGTTGTTGTTCTCTGCACTCTTTCTTGGTTTTCAACATCTTTTGTGGGGACCAAAACTGGATGCTTAACCACACTTATAATGCTTAACAAGGCATTATAAACCAGTATTAACATTTCACATGATCTTGATTGTATCCATCTGTTGATGCAGCTTAGGATTGCATTGGCTTTTTGGCAGCTGCAGCACACTGCTGGCTCATACTTAAGTGATTGTCTATGGCTCAGTGGTTAATGACACTGAGCTTATCAGTTGATAAGCTGATAGCCTGGGTTCAAAACCAGAGCGCCGTGCAAGGAGGTGAGTTCCCATTCCTGCTCCAGCTCCTGCCCATCTAGCAGTTCAAAGGCATGTAAATGCTAGTAGGTTAATAGTGCCATTTCACTGGGAAGGGTGCTTTTCAGTGGTTCCGTGTGCTTTTGGTGCATACCCATCCTGGCCACATGAGCATGGAAATATATTTGGACAATTCTGGTTCTCTCAGCCAAGAAACGGAGATGAACACTATGCCCTAGAGAGTCAGACATGACTTTGACCACTAGGACTCCAAGATCTCTCTCGCAGTTGCCAGGTTTCATCAATTCTATACCTGCACATTTGGTTTTCTTGCCTAAGTGTAAAACCTTACTTTTCTTTCCATTGAATTTTATTTTATTAGATAGGGCCCAGTGTTCAAATCTATTGAGATCCTTACGGATCTTGGTGTTGGCTATTCCTTCTAGCTTGGTGTCATCTGCAAATTTGATGAATTCCCCTTCTATTCCCTCTAAATCGTTTATGAAAATATTGAATAGTACTGGGCCTAAGACAGAACTTTGGGGTACTCGACTGCTTACTTCCTCCATGTAAATGTATTTCCCTTAAGGACTACATGTTGAGTGTGGTTTGTGAGCCAGTTACAAATCCATATATTGGTGATGCTGTCTATCCCACATTTTTCTAGCTTACCAAGAAGTAGGTTGTGGTCTACTTTGCCAAATGCCTTACTGAAATCCAACTATACTACAATATATCCATAGCATTTCACTGATCCACTAATTTAGTTATTTAGTCAAAGAATGAAATAAGATTTGTTTCACATGATCACTTAGCTTCTAGTTGCTTGATTATCTTTTCCAGTGTCTTCCCAGGTATTGATTTCAGGCTGATTGGGCTGTAGTTTCCTGGATCCATTTTTTTCTCTTTTTTGAAGATGGGAACCACATCAGCTCTTTTCTAGTCCTCTGGTATTTCTCCAGTGCTTTATCTTTGAAAGATATGGTTTAATGGTTCCAAGATCATGTCTACCAGCTCCTTCAGGTCCTGATGCTCTGAACTCATCTAGGGTGGACATGTGTTCTCTTACCATTCTCTTGCCTATTTTAAATTGTATTCCTAGTCTGTCTTTTATGGTTCTGATTTTGGTAGGTTGGGCTATTTTGTGTGTGTGTGTGTGTGTGTGTGTGTGTGTGTGAAAACAGATGCAAAGAATGAATTAAGCAGCTCAACTTTCTCCTTGCTGCCCATCACTTCCTTGCCATCTTCTCCCATTAGTGGATTGATTGTTTCCTTGACTTTATGGGTGTCATAAATGGGTGTCAGTTGCACCCATTTCTAGATAAAAAGGTTCTAAGTCATTCATGCCCTGTTCACCTCCAGAATAGGTTATTGAAATGCATGCTATATAGGGCTGGCCTTTAAAAGCATCCAGAAGCTTATAGCCAGTGCAAAATGTAGTGGCGTGGACAGTTGTGTGCATTCCTTGATCAGTACACATTACACATCTGCTTTATGAGCTGCATTGACTGCCAGTTTGCTTTCAAGTTCAATTTAAGGTGTTGGCAATACCCTATAAAGCCATACATGGGCTGGGGGTGACTATCTCTCCCCAGTTACATCTACCCATCAGGTCTTGCAGGAGAGGCATTTTATGGCTCCCATCTACCAAGGAATGTCATCTGAGAGGACACAGGAGAGCTTTTCTGCAGCAGCACCTGCTTTTGGGGACATCATTTTCCAAAACATTAGGCTGGCCCCAATCCTGCGTGAAACATACTAATTTTTGAAACATGTAAACATCAACATTAAAAGCGAACTAAAGAGCAAACATTTACTGTATTTTATCATCAGAATTCTCTTTAATAAATACTATTTAATGGTTTATTCTCATTTGGCTCCTTTTGTTTTCTATTAGTGAAGTATCTGAAAACACGGAGAAAAAGAACCTTTAATGAATCAGAATCTGCAGCAAAGAATGCAAGAGGAAATTATAAGGAAGGTAATAAGTTTGTATTTTTGTTGCTTTTGCATAATAACCTCCCCTTGCATAAATATGCTTTTGAGTTTCTTTTGAAATGTTTGCTTTTTTACTTTCATTTGTTAGTGTATTGGAAGGTTCTAAGCATCTTCTAAAACAATTGAATCTTAATCAATCAAACTGTATGCCACTATTCTCTGAATAACCTTCCTTAAAAATGAAAGATTGGAGAGAGACCAGAGTCCAAAATAATGGGGTCAAGTACAGGTAGTTTTTGACTTACAACCATAATTGTGCTCAAAATTATGGTGATAAATCATTGTGATTAAAAGTATGGTTAGAGTTTCGAATGGTTCCTTTTTTGTTTTTGCTTTTCCTGTTTGAAAGAGAGTTCTGAGTTGCCAGAATAAGAAAGAAAGTCACTTACTAAATCTGAATTGGAGAGTATGGGAAAAAGAGAAGAACGTGAAGGTGGGGAATGTTGCATCACTGTTCAATAAAGCACAACAGAGAAGAGAATAAATACAGAATGACAAGAGTTGGAAGAGACATTGGAGGTCATCTAATCCAAACAGGAGACTCTATATCATTCCAGACAAGTGACTGTCCAGTCTCTTCTTAAAAACTTCCAGTGATGGAGCATCCACAACTACTGGAGGAAAGCCATTGCGCTGATTAATTGTTCTCCCTGGCACGAAACTTCTCCTTAGTTCTAGGTTGGGTCTCTCCCTGATTAGCTTCTATCCATTACTTCTTGTCTTGCCCTCAGGTGCTTTGGAGAAAAGGCTAATTCCCTTCTTCTTTGTGACAGCTTCTCAAATATTGGGAAACTGCTATCATGTCACCCTAGTCCTCCTTTTCATTTGACTAGACATTCTCAGTTATTGCAACCATTCATGATATGTTTTGGCCTCCAGACCACTAATTCTCTTTGTTGCTGTTCTCTGTACTCTTTCTAAAGTCTCAACATCTTTTTTGTATTATGGTGATCAGAACTGGATTCATTGTTCCAAGTGTGGCCTCAGCAAGGCAGTACTAACACTTCAAGTGATCATAGCATTATTCCTCTGTTGATGCCATCTAGGACTGCACTGGCTTTATTGGCAGTTGCAGCACAATGCTAATTCATACTTAAGTGGCTGTCCACTAAGACTCCTAGATCCCTTTCATTGTTGCTGCTGTTGAGCCAAGTACAGTATATTCTATATTCTATTCTATATCTGTGCATTTGGACTTTTTTGCCTAAGTGTAAAACTTTTCTTTTCTTGTGGCTGAATTGCATTTTTCTGGATAGCCCCAGGGGTGGGATTCTACCAGTTCAGGACCAGTTCTATAGAACCGGTTGTTACGATTCTGCACAGTTCGGAGAACCGGCAAATCATACCACTGGCTGGCCCCTCCCCTCCCCACCCACCCCACCCAGGAGTCTTCCCTGAGGCCCAGTCAGGGGTGGTATTCAGAGGGTTGGGGGAAGGCGAAGTGGCCTGAGAGCAGAGCTGAATCTTCCTTAGGATTGAAGCTTCTATTTTTCAGTGCAGACTCAGGCAGAAGATTGCAGAAAGGTAGATCTGGGAGTGAAGCTGTGATTCTGCAAGCAGCTCAATCTGCCTGCCTGCTTTGCCTGATTTGGGGTAAAAGTTGTTCTTTTTAAAATAAAAAAATTCAATCTTTACATATATATTTACAATATTTATATACAAGCCACGCCCAGCCAGTTACATGACCACCAAGCCACACCCACAAATTTGACCATGCCCACAGAAACGGTTGTTAAGAAACTTGAATCCCACCCCTGGATAGGCCCCAGTGTTCAAATCTGTCAAGCTCTTTCTGAATCTTCAGCCTATCATCTGGAGTATTGCCTGTTCCTGCCAGCTTAATATTGCCTGAAAATTTGATGAGTTCTCCTTTTATCCCTTCATCCAAATCATGTTGAAGAGTACTGGCCCTAAGATAGAACCTTGGAGAACTTAACTGCATGCTTCCCTTCATGTAGATGTAGTTTCATTGAGGACTATGCATTGAGTTTGCTACAAACCCATCTCGTGGTGAAGCTATCTGTCCCACATTTGTCTATTTTATCAAGAAATAAGTTGTGGTCTAATTTGTCAAATGCCTTATTGAATCCAAGAACACTTTGTCCACAACATTTCGCTAGTCCACTAAAATTTAAACATTTTTTTCAATACTGCATCCTTTGGTTTTAACTTCAATGTTAACGTTTTGCGACCTGTAATGTTGAAGTGAACTTTAAATGTAATACATCAAATGCAATTCAAATTGCCCTCAAGATATAGTTTGTATTCCACAGAGGGAAGAAGCGAAAGGAATAAAAGGAGAAAAAAAACCCCTCTCAGCTCTTAGTAATTGTGAAAGGGTATCGAAAAGTTGTGAATTCTCAATTACTCACTTTGGGCCCTTTCTTTTAAAAATGTAAAAGCCTTAAAGATTTACATTTTTTTTATTTTAAAAAAATACAAAAGTTCAGTTTTTTTAAAAAAATAGTTTTATAAATTGCTTTTTATTTTTTGGTAACAAATTGGTTTAATTTTAGTCACTGGATCTCTTTTTTAAAAATATTAAATTTAGTGACTTAAAAAAATAAAAGAAATAAAAATGTATTTTTATTTAGTTTAATTGAATTAATTTTGAAAACAGTAGAAACCTCATCTTGTGGGAACAATTTTTTTTCAATCCGTTCCTTGTAGCTCTGAGGTAAGTGTATTAGTGTAGCCAATGTATTTTGCCTTCTTGATTTAAGTTTAGTTACATCAGAACCAGATTAAACAATTCCTACTTGTTATTCTTTGTTTCAGAAACTTCTAGGCTTGAATCTTGAAAGGAGACAGAGGTGATTTTTTTTCAAGGATGAAAGGTGACAACACAAAAGTACCTCTGCAGCCTCTGTTCAGTCCAATTCATACATTACCTCATTTTATCAATTTTGCTGAATTGTAATTGGTTTTATGTTGCTTTTCAACTGTTTTTATTTTATTCATATCATGTTCTAATTTATTATGGAATTTTAAATAGCTATGGACTGCTTTATTTATTTCATGACCTCTTTTATGAACCACTGTGAAAACAAACAAGAGACAGTAAGAAAATGAACAAAAGAAAGAAGAGATATAGAATAAACTCAGAATTGTTGTCTCCTTCAAAACCATTGAATCAGCCTAAAATTGCTGAATATTTAGCAACAAAAAGCAAGCAAGCAAACAAACAAAAAACACCAGTGGGTACAGTCAGTAATAAAATAAACCAAGAAGTTCCAATGATGTTTTTAATTGGCTGTGATGTTCTGGAATGGGATTTCAAAACTGAGACTGAGCACACCAGCAAGCTAGATCTTTCTTCCTCTCTGGGAAGAATCCTACCAACTGAATGATTTAACAGCAGAGCTTCACCCTGAGGTTGATAAACCTCTTGCCACGCTCTTCATATTTTTCTAAAGCAGGTCAACTTGAATATTTAAGAAAGGAATAAGTCCATAACAAGACAATGCCTTCTAACTGCACAGTCATTTCTATGTTTGAGCTATTGTCAGTAATAAATAAATAATAACATGAATACTTTTTTTTTGGGGGGGGGGGAATCTTTGAAAGAGCTAATCAAAATAATTCAAACAAATCAAAATTGTACATGGGATGGAGCCAGGAGATGGAAGAATTCTGATGTTAAGAATTGGACATGACAACCCCTGCCTGTTTCTTGGTTTCCATGTAACTTTACAAAAGCCACCATCCTTACCATATTTTTTCTGCCTATTTTTAATAGTCCTGAACAGTTCCTCACTCTTTTACACCAATTTGTATATGAGGCTTTGAAGACCAAATTCTTTTATATTTAACCTTTTCATATTTAATGCCTCTTTCTAATATGTTTGCACTAATATTCATAAAGATGTGACTTTTTCAAGAATTATAAAGTATGCCAGAAATGAAACATTTGTATTATTTTTTTTACTAAAGCTCATATGGTTTTTCAGAGATATATGGGTTTTTTTATTTTATAAACATTGCACTGGTTAGCACTGATAGTTTTGAAATTTAAAATGTTTGTAAAGCTGGTTACTAGTTCTCATAATTATGGGAAAAATCTCAAATCTAGGTTTCTGCTGCTCAGGTGCCATGATGAATTGGACAGCAGTTACCTTTTTCCTCCACTGTATTGCTACACTGTTCCCTACAGGATGCACACTTCGCTCTCTAAATGATGCATTGGCTTATGGATGCCAAGTGCCAATTTGACAGGGCAGTGTACTGATTTACTTTATTATCTTAGTCCTCCACCAGTTTAAATGATCACTCATCTTTTGACTATTGTTTAATAATTCAGTAGAAAATGTTTGTCTTTCTTCACTTACTGTATAGCTATTGCAATAATTAATTATGGGTCTGAAGTCAAAAGGACAAGAGAACAGGTTTTTGCATCTGTAATGTGAAAGAACAGCCCAAAATTGGAGTTATTTCAAAGAGGAGAAAGATGAGATTAGACCTTTAAAATCACTTCCAACAATATGATTCCATAAGATAAAAAAGCATGACATAAGAAAGGGAGATATAGACAAATCTCATTATATGGCACCATACCTCTCCATATTTTTGTGCAGGAAACAATACAAATAAAAGAAAAGGAAGGGAGAAAAAATAATTAAAGAAATGACTTTCAAATTTTATTACAGCAGCTACAATTAAAATGGCACTTTGGGTTTTTATTAAGGGATGCTGGTGCTTGGATAGTAATCAATACAGAAATTCTATAAATCTCCCCTCCCCCCCCCTTAACTCTGGGAGTATGAGTGATAGAAAGAGTAGAGGAATAAACAAGCGTGTTTGTGCATACGTGCATAGGTGCAACCAAAAATATAGCAGATATTGAGTCACCATGGTGAACAGGTGGCAATACAAATCTAATCAATAAATAAAAAAGATATCAGAGACATCAAAATTGTTGCAGTTTTTTTTCCCCCAGAAATGATATCTTCAAACAGACCCGAATACAAGGAAATCGGTCCATTGCTCTGGGCAAACTCAGCACTCATTTTTATCTGCACTAATGGAAAGAAAATCAGTGCAATGACTCCAATATGCCATATTTCTTTTCAAAGAAGTTACATGAGCAGGACTGTAAAATGTTAATTCTGACTGTAGTGTAAATTGGGGTTTGTTTCTATTAAAATAAATATAAAAGCAACTATAAATAAATGTAAAATAATTATAAAAGCAACAATAAAAACTCAATGGGTGTCTATTTCACTTCAATATACCTGGGATTGAGGTCTTGTTCTTGGAGGCAAATGATGAAGTTATTATGTAAATGCCACAATTTAAGTACTTGTATCAGATGTTGGTCATTTGGTAGCATTAATCACAGTTACTCCAGTCACATATTTCTGACTATATGCTTAAAATCTTCAGAATGTAAACACCAGAGTATTCTTGGATGTAATCTGCTAGAAAGAAAAGTATAGCCATGGCTGGCTGATTTTGTAGAAGAAAAAATCAGGAAAAAAAAATCATTTCTGCTTAAAAAATATTTTCTGCTAATGGCAAAGTGATATAACCTCTTAACTTAAGAGCAAACCTCTTCAAATATTGTAGGAATCTGAGGAAATGTCTGTATTGTCTTACTGTAGCATGGTGCCAGCTCTTTTTGTGTCTGGTTGTATATTGGTCGCTATTTTTTCAATTCTTAGAATGTGGAACTGTTTGACTGTATCTTAGAGTAGAATAGAATTCTTTATTGGCCAAATGTGATTGGACACACAAGGAATTTGTTTTGATGCAAATGCTCTCAGTGTTCATTAAAAGGAAAAAAATACATTGGTCAAGAATCATAGGTATAGCATTTAATAGTCAAAGGGTACAAATAAGCAATCAAATCATACCAGGAAACATAATAATAAGCAATCAAATCAAATTATACTAGTAAACAGTCAATTTTAAAAAATCATAATGATACAAGCAACAAAGTTACATTCATACAGTCATAAGTGGGAGGAGATGGGTGAAAGGAAGGATGAGAAAATGAATAGTAATAGTAATAGTGATGCAGACTTAGTAAATAGTTTGACAGTGTTAAGAGAATTATTTGTTTAGCAGAGTGATAGTGTTTGGGGAAAAACTATTCTTATGTCTAATTGTTCTGGTGTGCAGTGCTCTATAGTGTCATTTTGAGGGTAGGAGTTGAGACAGTTTATGTCTGGGATGTGAGCGGTCTGTAAATATTTTCACACCCCTCTTTTTGACTGAGCATTATACAGGTCCTCAATTGAAGGCAGGTTGGTAACAATTGTTTTTTCTGCAGTTCTAATTATCCATTGAAGTCTATCTGTCTTGTTGGGTTGTAGAACCAAACCAGACAGTTATAGAGGTGCAGATGACAGACTCAATAATTCCTCTGTAGAACTGTATCAGCAGCTCCTTGGGCTGTTTGAGCTTTCTGAGTTGGCGCAGAAGGAACATTATTTGTTGTGCTTTTTTGATGATGTTTTTGATGTTAGGTGTCTATTTTAGGTCTTGAGATATGATAGAACCTAGAAATTTGGTGGTAGTATGGCAGGGTTTCTCCTAAAATCTACCACCATTTCTACAGTTTTGAATGAGTTCAGTTCCAGATTGTTCCGGTTGCACCAAGAGGCAAGTTGTACAACCTCCCATCTGTATGCGGATTTGTCATTGTCTCGAATGAGACCAACCAGAGTTGTATCATCTACAGACTTCAATAGTTTAAATAATAGATCATTTGAGATGCAGTCATTGGTATATAGGGAGAAGAGAAGTGAAGAAAGCACACAGCCTTGGGGGCGGGCTGTGCTAACTGTACAGGTATCTGATGTGATTCTGCCTAGCTTCACCTGCTGCTTCCTGTCTGTTAGGAAGTTTATGATCCACTTACAAGTGTGTTCAGGTACCACTAGCTGGTTTAGTTTAGTTAGGAGAATGTTTGGAATGATGGTATTGAATGCTGAACTAAAGTCTACAAAGAGAACACTTGCATAGATATTTGGAAATTCAAGGTGTTGTAGAATGTAGTGCAGAGCCATATTAACAGCATAGTCTGTCGATCTATTTGCTCGGTATGCAAATTGCAGGGGATCTTACAGCAGATCCATGATGGTTTTCAAGTGGGACAGCACTAGCCTTTCAAAAGTTTTCCTAACTACTGATGTTAGAGCATCAGGTCTGTAGTCATTCAGTTCCCTGATGGAGGGTTTCTACGGCACTGGGGTGATAGTAAAGCATTTGAAGCAAGAAAATACATAGCACATCTCTAGTGAAGTATTGAAGATTCGGGTGAAGATTGGGGCCAATTGGTCAGCACAGACTTTTAAGCAAGAAGGAGTTATCTTGTTTGGGCCTGGTGCTTTTCCTGGCTTTTGTCTGTGAAATAGATCATGCACTTCTTTTTCTGTGATCACCAGAGGTTGTGAACCCAATGGGTTGGTGTGCTGTATTAGCATACTCCAAACCCTCGCAACTGATTGGTCCAGACGGACAGCGACCTGATTGGTCGAAACCCCGGCCGTGATTGGAGCGCTGAGAATCTACCGCGATTGGCTGTGCCGATTGCGGGAGATTCAAAGCGCTGCCATTGGCCACCGAGCTGCGAGCCAGCCCTATATGAAGGGCTGCCGCGGCTTGTATTTCCCAGACTGTTCCTATTCTAAATAAAGAGCTGAACTCACTAGAATGGTCTCGCGTCTCATTCGAACCGATCTACCTCAGATCTAACAGTTGGGGTCAGTTGTGGTTGTTGTTGATGTGTTTGAGATGGGGTCAATTGTAGGAGGCTTGTCTGTTGGTGTGTCTGAGATGGTGGTTGTGGAGATAGGTAGCTGTAGTTTCCTTTCAAACCTGCAGAAAAACACATTCAGGTCATCTGCTAGTTGTTGATTTCCTTCTGCCTGGGAAGGAGGTTTGCTGTAGCCAGTGATATTTTAGAGTTTTCCACATGCTTGCTGATTCATTTGTTGAGAACTGATATACTTAATTTTTCAGAGTAGCTTCTTTTTGCTTCTCTGATCTCTCTGGTTAATACGTTCTTGGCCTGATTGTATAGCACTCTGTCACTTTTTCTGTAGGCTTCCTCTTTGGAACGACGTAGCTGCTTAAGTTTAGCTGTGAACCAAGGTTTATTGTTACTGTATGTTCACAGGTTCCTGGTTGGTACACATAGGTCTTCACAGAAGCTGACATATGATGTTACAGTATCTGTGAACTTATCTAGGTCTGCAGAGGTATCTTCAAAAACATTCCAATCAGTGCAATCAAGGCAAGTTTGTAGCTTTAGCTTTGCCTCCTCAGTCCAAGTCTTCACTGATTTAATTGTTGGTTTCATGGTCTTTGTCTGTAAGCAGTGCAAGGTAAATCATGCAGTTGTCAGAGTGTCCGACAACTGCTTGTGGTAAAGACCGATAAGCATCTTTTAGTGTTGTATAGCAATGGTCTAAAAAGTATTCTTGCCTCTAGTTCAGTGGTTCCCAACCTTTTTTTCACCCCGCACCCCTAAAGAAATTTCACTCGAACCTCGCACCCCCTGAAATAAATAATAAATAAAAATGCCAACATATAGCCAATATCCTATTATTTACCTGGACTTTTCTCGCACCCCCTGGAATATCGTCTCGCACCCCAGGTTGGGAACCCCTGCTCTAGTTGGACAATTGACATGCTGGAAATATTTTGGGAGCTCTTTCCATAAGTTGCCTTGATTAAAATCTCCTAGAATAATATCTTGTCTGATGTATGACTTCTTGATTTCTTTGCTCTGATTCAGTGAGTTAGTTGAGATTGGGCTGGAGGGCTGGTTGTTGAGAAGCACATTTGAAAACTGCTCACCAACTTTGCTCATAAAATAGAGGAAGTCAATCCTTTGAGATACATACAAGAAACCATAACCACAGGTACTATCTTTATTGTAAGGTTGCAGTTATAGAATCCTGCAAGTCTGAAAGCACTTGTCCCCTCCATTGCCTGTACTTTCCAGAGAACTAGAGATAATTTCTTATAAGGCATTTTCCACACCCCTATTCCTTCTGTGGGGGCGCAATGGCTCAGTGGTTAAAAAAGCTGAGCTTGTCAGCTGGAAAGCTGGCAACCCACGTTAGAGACCTGAGCGCCACACAACAGGGCCAGCTTCCATTCCTGCCCCAGCTACTGACCACCCAGCACTTAAAAGCATGCAAATATGAGTAGATTAATAGGTATCAATTCAGAGGGAAGGTAACAGCATTCCATGCACTTTGGTGTATTGTCATGCCAGCCACGTAAAAAGTATCTTTGAACACCGTTGGATCCCTTGGCCAAGAAACGAAGATGAGCACCACACCTTAGAGTCAGACACAACTGGACAGGGAAACCTTTTCCTTATCCTTCTGTGGGCTGAGATATGTTTTATCTGATAGTTGTCAGGGGTGTAGTTTTTCCTCCATTTTTGGAAGGTTATTTTCACAGCCCACTTCAGAGAACAAGCAGGGGTTTAGAGGTTCAGTCAACCTTATGGTCAGGAAAATTGTCTTAAATTTTGGATATTTTTGCACTGAATTGAAAAAAATAAACCCCCACAGTTAGCTGAAAGGCAATTTGTAGACTTGTTCCCATAGAAACTACCTGTCTGGTTCCTGAAGTAAAATTGAAAGGAACAGGCAGAGGGAGATACCTGACTTAGAAGGGACAGGCCCAAGAAATAATCTTATACCGTCAGCCTAGCAAGAGAGAGGGCACATTTTTTTCTTCCTGTTTCCACAAATATTTTAAGAAAAAGATACGGGCATGTGTGACACTGAACTGTTACCACTCTCTAAAGTTGAATGCTTCTTTCTATATGATAGCTTGAACTCTAGACTGA